TTCGATGGACTTTGCCATCACTGAGTGAATGTGTGTGAAAGGGTGAATGTGGCACGTAGTGTAAAAGCGCTTTGAGTGGTCGGAAGACTAGAAAGGCACTATACAAGTACAGGTCCAAACATTTACCATTTATTAATTGAATAGATGCTTTGACTGAAAATAATCAGCAACTGTTTTAATAATTAATAATTTCAGTAATTTTCAAGCAAAAACAGTGTAAATCACTGTCAATTAAATATCTTTTTTTTTGGGACTTTTGGTCCAATAAATGAGACATTTGAAGACATCATCTTGGGCTCTTGGAATTATTGATTTGACATTTCCAAGATTACAAAACTAACCGATTAATCAAAAAATATCATCAGATTCATCTATAATGAAAACAACTGTTAGTTGAACATAGCAATTAACATTGGCCCCGATTATAATTATTATTTAAATCAGGAGAGACAAGTGAATGAATGTTTTTTATAACATACGATATGTGATGATTAAATCTAGACAGAAAGTCTTTGCCGCTTAGACTCTCAGATTTCTGCCTTGGGCAACAAAAAGATACATTCCCCCCATAGAGTCTAGAAACTGGCCGTGGTGGCTTATGACTGGCTGATAAAATAATGAAGCTGATGAATCTGCAAAGACTGGGCGGTGGTGGGGAAGTGACAGGGTGCATATAACATTAGCATAATTGAGCTGAAGGCAGAAAGAGATTTATATTTAAAAAGACAGCAGCAAGATGCCAAGCTTAAAATGCAGGTGTGTCACTGTGCTATTGGATAGAGCTGATATCTCAATTGACAGCCCCTGATAAAGACAGCAAGGAAATTATGGGTGAGCATGCGTGAGAGGAGTGAATGCAGGATGGAAAGAGAAACTAACTACAAGCCTATATGCAAAAATATAGTCTTGCTGACTGAACATTTGCTATAGCTTCAGTTAAACAAACCTCTTACTGTCACAAAATGCATTCACTCCTCTGTGTTGCCACACTTAATGATGAAAGGAAACAATATAGAGTAGAGGTGGTTCACATATTTAGCCTTTATCTTACAGTATAACTAAAGCAAGTGAGTAATTGGTCAGAATTAAAGCCTGGTTTGCTTATCTTAATGATATCGGCGATAGCCATTAGAAATCTTGAGAGTTATATAACCTTTGGTCAGTTCAGGCATTACTGCTCTCTAGTCAAAATGGAGACTCAGGACTTGGTATTATGATGATCTTGTAAACACTCATAAAGAGAGAGTGAGAGAGAAAAAGACGAAAATACAAAGGAATAAAATCCCACATCTATTTCAGTGCTTGTCATTGATTAGTTTTTAAACTCTTGCTCTTTGGTGCAAAAAGGCTGTTTTCATATAGGCTTCATAAATTGTGCTTTTGGTTGCAGGCAATGTTAACACTGATGTAAGGAAATATGATCACAACACTAAAGTAAATCCAGTAAAGCGTCATACTGCAGTTTCTGTTTTGTTTTGTGTGAAGGCAGATTTTAAAAAGAAGCTCTATTAAAAATATAAATCCTCAACATTCAACCAACAAGCCCCTGATATATCATTTTGATTCCACAAAATCTATAAAAACAGCTAACCCAGCTTCAAGCTCTTGTAGTACCAAATAAATAACGACAGGATAAGAGTAAATCTCCTTAGGATGTGACCTACACCCCATCATTGCGTTTAGATTAGCTTCAGAACAAGGCTTGTGCTGAGGACCAGAGTCCAGTGTGTGTGTTGTGAGGTGATCATGATAAAACCCAGCCAGTATCCAATCCGTGGAGTGAAAGAGGGGCCATAAACCGCACAGATAAGCCCAGGATGCTCGGTTTGAATATATACACCACCACACTCATTTCAAATACCACACCTACAAGGACTCTTGCCTACATGGATTTCTTCAACTGGATCTTTGCTGCACTGCAGGACTGACTTTGGAAACAAAACATACTCATCCTGTCCAACCATGGTCCATGTGGAGTTTCGGTCGGTCACCCAGCCTCTGGGCATCATGCGAACAATGGCGGCCATTCTCACTTGTATGTGTTTTAGCCTGGTGGCAACAGTGGGATATGTGTCATCTCCCTATTGGGCATGGTGCATGTTCACCTGGTGCTTCTGCTTCTTCTTCACCTTCCTCATTGTCATCCTGGAGTTCACCACTGTCAATACAAAATTACCTTTCGCCTGGGAAGATTTCACCACTGCCTTCGCTATGCTGGCGACCCTCATGTGCTTTGCCGCCTCTATCATCTACCCCACCTTTTTCACCTGCACGACCTGCCACCGTCAGATAGGTGCCTCTGTGGTGTCCTGGGTGTGTCTCGGGGTGTATGTAGGAGAAGTGGTCTTAACTCGCCTTCATCCGAGTGGGGAGAACATCGGGTTCCTCTCCACGTTGCCAGGCATAATGAAGATGCTGGAGACGTTCTTCGCCTGTCTGATTTTCACGTCCCTGGAGAAAAGCCAGTTCGGCTCCCCAGGACTGCAGTGGTGCGTGGCCGTGTACTCCTTGTGCTTCATCTTTTCCATCGTGATAATCCTTCTCACCCTTGGAAAGCTGACTTCTTATTTTCCATTCTCTTTTGAGAAGCTAGTGATTGTCTATAATATTTTGGCAGCAGTGATGTATATGACAGCTGTGGTAATCTGGCCACTGTATAGTTTCCACACCAAGAGACCCAGTAACTGCGGCTCCCTCTGTCCCTGGGATAAACTGGTGGTGGTCACATTCATGACGATCATAAACTGTATTGTTTACACCCTGGACACTGTCTATTCTATAGGCCTTGTGTTCTTTGTCAGTAACCAGTGAAAATGCAGCTTAACTGAGAACAAAATGTGCCTAGGTTTGAATTAATGTTAACAGAAATACTTGGGACAGGGTTTTATACTGTGCCAAAGTTAGAAAGATGTATTATTGTTGTTGCTTTACACACAATGCAATATATATATATATATATATATATATATATTCTGCTTATTCTGCTGTTAATCAAATGCTCTCAAAGATGAGTGATTACAATAATAAAAATGTTGGCTGCCCAATATATGGAAAAGAAGTAGACTTAGTTAATCATTAAAACTGTAGTGTCATCACAGTCATAAAAAATAGCATAGGAGAACTTTGGATCCTGATACACAAAGGTTAATTAAACAGTGCAGGTAATAATACTGAGCTCTTACATTAGTTTATTACACTGGGTTACAGTCAAATTATGCCGCCTGTGAATTTACATGTGTTTTCACATTCATGCTCGTTATCTCTATATTTGTGGGTTTGCTGATAAAAAGAACACGTTGACATTTTTGGAAATGTTCTTGTTCAATTTCTTGATTAGTCATAACTCTGGAGAGTTAGACAATTGATGCCGAATATGATACTGACTGAAAATGTCAGGAAGTTACTCTGCCTGGTCAATAACAGTCCTGCTCTGTAGAACCACCACATGTTGTTTTTGCACTTCTTTCCTTAAGGCATGTGATAAATTAATTTCCTAGTGTACTGTAGGGCATTGACCACAGATAAATGTAAACTGAGTGTAGGACATGAACACTGACGGGCAAACAGAACAGCCAATTAAAGATGAGATTGGGTGGAAGAAAAGGAACAAGACAACAGGAAGATTGATGAGATAAAGATGGGGGAGAGAGACAGCGAGATTTTTGCAGACTTTGGAAGGTTGTGTGGGAAAAGTGGAAAAGAAAATCCTTTAATCGGCAGGCAGCTGCAGCATATGGAGCTGGATTTGTTGCAAGGTGTTATCTTTCTTTTTTCTAATTTAGCTTCTTTTCTTCCTCAGCAATGTGGTGGGCAGGGGTTGAAAGATAGAAAGTATGACGTCAATTAAGTCTTTTCTTTTTTTAACCAATTGGAAACGTCACCGAAATCTCTCTTGTAATCCTACAACTATTGTGCTACCTAGCACACCAATCTGTGTGAGTGAACTTGGGTCAAATGGAGCAAGTGAAGCATAGAAATTTTGCTTTTCTTCTCATGTCAGTCTGTCAGAAAGACGGGGCACATTTAGGTCAATAGTCTATATCTCAGGCACAGCCGCAAATGGCAGAAGGGTCTGCTTTGATTTGGATTACACAAGGGACAAAAATGCATTAAACAGTAGACACACTGAACTTCAGGTGAGAAATTCTACAAAAAACTAAACCATTTAGTTTTGTATTAAACTGGGTTACAGCAACAATTGGAAAAGCAAATTTTTTTTATTGTTTTGTTTTTTTCTTTTTGCATACAGTACACTATATATACACACTTTACAAACATAATATTTTTGCATGCATAGTTCCTGTGACTTCCTGTGAATTCATTATTATATTCACTATTAAAAACTAGTGTAACCATTGGCTCATTTTCTGAAAGCATAAAGTTTAGAAAGGATCTCCAAGACTTAACAATAGGAAGTTGTGTCTATGGAAAGAGGTGCTTTATAGTTAATCAGATCAATGACATTCTTCCAACCTCCTGTCTCTCTGTTATCTGAATGAAGACTGATGCGAGCAGTGGGAACACAGGTTGACAATGACAATCAGTAACTACTATCAGTAGAGAAATTAAACTTTGGATCTGTCATTAAGTGTAGTTTAAACTGAATACATAGTGGTTATTAATGTAAAGCAATCATTCCAGAGCTTTTATTGGTAACATTGTCCTCTTATTTAGCCTTTATAAGCAGTAAATGGTTTATAACTCACTATAATGTAGTTGTACAGCTATAAGGACATTTTAACTCTCTATGATTATACAGTATTTGCCAACAATTATAACTTAATTAAAACCTATATTATTACATAACAGTTTTACTATATTGTCATTCATCTGCTTCTACAGCAACCTCCACTTTTTGGTGGCCATGAGGACTTACAGCTGCTTAATATATGTTATAAACCATTTATTAAATGTTTATGCTTATTAATGCTAAAGTAAAGTCTTCCTCTTTAATTTTGTTTGCCAGAAGTAAAACTAAATTATGAGTGTAGTAGTGTGTGTGTGTGTGTGTGTGTGTGGTACCATGTGTGATCATGCAGCTAATCTCGCATACTACTGAACCAATCAGCCTCCTATATCTTGTGCATATTAATGAGTGTATGCTGAAGGACCTCTTGTGGTTGCAGTAATTAACATGTTTAAAAAACCTTGAAAATAACAATCTTTTTTATTGACTGCTATGTTTTATACCAACTGCTGACTCCTTACTCCTCTTAATTGGCCAGTAGAGGCTGCAAGTGATCAGCTGCTGGGCTAAAAGGCTAGTCTGTTGCAGGCCACATTTTGGCTTTGTCGTGGCTCATAAACTGACTGAACTAAAAATTTGGTCTCATCTTTAACCAGAGCTTTATTAAACTACTTGTTTAATTTTGAACCAATTTTTATGAAATTTGGTTTATTATAAACATTAGAAATTGAACTTGATACTGGTTACTAGTCAGAATTAAATGCAGTTACTGAGGGCGCATTGAATAAGGTCTATGCCAAAACATTAACCTTCTGAACAGTCACAACTTTCATTACAATACTATTACAGTATTCAATGCATGTTGAAAAAGACTATACCATACAAACACACATTATTAAAAACTTTGCATATAAGAAAAATATACTATGCTATATACAAAAAACTTAAAGGTCCATTGTGTAACATTTAGGAGCATTTATTAGCAGAAATGGAATAAAAGATTCATAGGTAAGTTTTCATTAGTGTATAATCACTAAATAAGAATAAGACAATAAGAAAGAGAAAATAAGAATGGGTGTGTTTTTGTTGTTTGTTACCTAATATATATTATATATATATTATCTACCGAGAGAGCAAGTTCTCTTCTAAGGAGTCCACCATGTTTCTACAGTAGCCCAGAACGGACAAACCAAAGCATGAGACACAACTCGCTATTGTGAATGTTGGTCAAATGTAAAACTTCAACACCAAACATGGCCATTGAACCAAACTGTCCTCAGACTGCTGAGGTAAGAACCACAAAACTGAACAATCCGTCAGCTGTAAAATTAACTGCACAACAGGACTGGCTGGTGGGTCAGTATGTTCAACTGTGAATACAGTGAAACAAGTCAAGGGCAGCAAACTCACCAATTAACATTTACATCATGTCTGCCTGGAACAAAGGAAACTTATTTTGTGTACAAGTTCTCAGGTGTTTTAAAGCTAATGTAAGCGAAATCATGGCCATGAACATGAAGCGCTTGCAGATTAACTTCTTTGGAGATAAGCGTTGCTTTATATGCTCTGACCAACCCCGTCTCCAATAAATTACATTTAGTATTAATCTGTTTTCCCAGTTATGTTGTATAACAGACACGCCATAATTGCTGGCTGGATCAAACAGCTGCCAAGCACTGCAAGTGCTGCAAATGTTGTACACATGTTCACGTGTTGTGCACATTTTTACAAATGTTCTGCGTTGTCTGGTTCCCTGGAAGGACACAAATACTGGAAATCTGAAAACTCTGGAAAATTGTTAGCAGTAATAAAAGAATATACCATTTGTAGTTAATGAGCATTCGGGGGTACATGCAGCGGTCCTGCAAACTTGCAACATTTTTGTTTTAATCTGTTATTTTATTCAGCTTTATTGCTGATTGGATTTGAATTTTAAAGAGCTTGTTCATCCATGAACTGAACTTAATATTGGTGTTTTCATGTTTGTTTACCTTGGAAATGTCCTGACCGTCGATGTGGATGCTGCCACTCTGAGGGTCGTAGAATCTGAACAACAGACGCAAGATGGAGCTTTTTCCTGATCCAGATGGGCCAACCTGCACACACACACACACACACACACACACACACGCACATTATTGGAATTCCCAGTCTCAGTTTAGTTATTATTAATATTATTAATTAATATTTACGCCACAGTCCGTCACAGTGCTATTAAAATGGTTGGTTCACACATTTTCTCTCTCACTTATAGTGACCCATTAAAGGCTTGATAAATAATAGGAATGTAGATGCAGTAAAAAGATGACAATTTACCAGAGCAACTGTTTTTCCCGCCTCCACCGTGAAGGTCACATCCCTGAGAACCTCAGTGCTACAAACACACACACACGGCAGCAACAGTTAGGTTCATACAAGGGCTTCTTTAAATCTGGCTGTAACTCCTGAAAGTTTGTTTGTTTATCAAACTGTTCATTTAATATGTTTTTGGAATTGCATCACGACAAGTTCTCACTCCCAAGTCCTCAAATAGTGCTGCTTGGTCGGTGGCCCTCCGCTTTAAAATAGGACGCTGTAGGTATCCCTCTCGTGTCCATTCTGGATGCACAAGGTTCCACGGTGAAGTTAGCAAGAATAAATATGCAACATCCTGTCAGACTTTCAAAATAAAGCTTGAGTGGTTAACGTGAAATGATCACAGTTTGGTTAGGTTTAGGCACAACAACTACATTACGTATCTGACTACATTAAAAAGACATAAATTACGTAACTTGGCGTAACTTAAGCACACAAAAAAGATGTCATTTAAATACCTGAGGTAACTTAAGTACATTACCTAAGTTAACTTGTCACTTTTTGGAGTTTTAACTGGGTTAAAGTCCTGTGCCTGAGCCATCGAACCCATCTCCTTCATACTGTATGCAGACTTTCTCGCTCTTTATACAACATCACCTGACTTTGACAATGGGCAAATCAACGATGCTAGAGGGATACCTACAGCATCATATTTTGAAATGGAGGGCCACTGGCCAAACAGCAGTATTTGAGCACTTGGGAGTGAGAGCGGGTTGTGCATTATGTCTGTGTCTTGGTTTCTTTTTTATACAAAGATATGTCATATTAACAACATGTCCTTCAACCTAAAGGACTAAACAGGTCATGTGCTATTGCCTTCTAAAACGATCATCATCACTGATTTACCATCTCTGTAGTTCATGTCTGGTTGGATTTAGCCACTAA